ATATTAATAAATTATTTTCCAGTTCATTTTCCATAATATAACCAAACACTGGAAAGTGTTTTCCAGTTCATTTTCCATAACACTACCAAATATCGGAAAATACTTTACTTTTCAGGAATTCATTTTCCCCGAAATTCACTTTTCCGGAATTCACTTTCCCCGGAATTCACTTTCTAAAAGGAAACAACTTTCCTGTAAACAAACGGGCCTTAATTATCCTTAAAAAAAATTTAATTTTCTGTTAATGGTTTTTTTTTAATTGTTTAAGCACAAATAAATAATTGAATTATCCTTAAATTAAAAAAAAATCTTAAAGTTGTAGTCTATGATTTTTTTTTTTTTTTTTTTTAACTTGGTTTTTTTTTTTTATAATCAAGTTGAGTAAAAACAATTTATTAATTTAATAAATATTAAATATTATTTAAAAAATAATTGATACACACCTATAAAAATCATTAATACCTTTTAGATAACACATGCAATGTTGTGATGTTGTCCGGTGACTGTATTCAATTCTTTTTATATGCACTCCTATTACTAGAAGACACATGTGGCTAATAGGCCTTCAATTTAGTGTCAGAGGTATTTCTTTCATTTTCTTTTTCTTTTTCTTGATTTTAGTGTCTCGTTTTTTAATTTTTCAAAGTAACCATTCAATTTATTTTTCTTTTAAATTTGATTTATTTTTATTAATATTTGTTTTTTAAATAATTTATAAAATTAAAATATATTTTTTAAGTTCATCATTCTTTAATTTTTTTATTTGTTGGATTTTATCATCATTTTTTATTGTTATTTTTTTATTTAATGAAATTTTGAAATTGATTTTTATTTTATTTTATTTCATCCTCTTTTGATTCCTTTTCTTATTAAAATTGATTTACATTCTTTTATTGTTTTTTTTTTACTTTGAAAAAATTTTAAATTAATATTTTTTTATTTCATCATTTAACATTAAATTAGTTAAAAATTTTAGCTCTATAATTGAATTTAAATTTCAAATTTACGAGTCAAGTCTAGGATTTAACCTAGATATTGAAGACCCTTGTTTTTTTGGTTTTTTCTAAGCTCTTGTCGTTTTAGTTTTGTTCTTTAACACTTATTTATTTTAGAATTGGACTCAATTATTATCTTTTATTTACTTTCTATTGGATTTTTTTACTAATTTTAAAAATGATATAATTTTTTTTTTAATATTAAATTATTTGGTAATAAATTCATTGTTTACATGCTGGACCGGATAGGCTCGGTTAGTTTATCCCAGCCAAGCCGCAAATTTTTCATTCATTACCAAAGATGGCTGAAGAGGTGTTGAAGACGCACAATGTTGTCTTTGCCTCTAGAATCTTAACATCTGGGACCATTGATATTGCCTTCTATCCATAAGGTGATTGGAACTCAACGATTCTAAGAAGGTTCGGTTTTTTTCTGCCATTCACCATGATGAGGCTTTGAAACTCATTAAATCCGTTGGAGCATCTGCAGGACGATCAATGGAGTTTACTGAAGAAGTTTTCTTTCCAACAAGTGTAAGAACATAACATGTAGAACAACATTAGGCAATCAATGCAAAGACCAAGATACAGTGATATCACTGGCAAAGGAAAGATCACACTTGGCAGGAGGTTATCCTTCACTAGAGTTTTTTCAAGGAGTTAATTATTGGGATGAAAGCTAAAGTGGAGAAAGTACTTGCTCAAATAAACAAGATCTTGGATAATATCATTAATGAGCATAAAGAGATGAGAAACAGTGAAACTATAGAGGAAGATCTGGTATATGTGCTCCTAAGGCTTCAGGAGGATGGAAGCTTCAAGTGCCCCATTGAGAATTCAACATCAAAGTTGGCCTCTAGGCAAGTAATTCAGCTATTCTCTTTGTTTTACAATCTTTCCATTTTTGTCGCTAAACTTGTAGCATTATTATAGAATAATAATTGGATATCATGATCATTTTCATCTTCAATTGAAGCTAATTAGGAGAGATGTTTGTGTTTGTATTCTACAATCTTTCCATTTCTGTCACTAAACTTGTAGCATTATTATAGAATATTAATTGGATATCATAATCATTTTCATCTTCAATTAAAGCTAATTAGGAGAGATGTTTGTGTTTGTGTAGGATATGCTTTGTGCAGGTACTGGAGTTCATAGAATGGGCTATGAAAGAAATCATGAAAAACCGACGAGTCGTAAAGAAAGCACAGGTTGGGATAAGAGAAGCCCTCAAAGGCATTAAAACAATTACAGAGGCAGACATTCAGGAACTAAATTACTTGAAGTCAGTGATCACGAAAACTATGAGGCTACACCCTCTCCAAACCCCCTTGATGTTGATTCCAATATAAAGTGGAGAAATATGCGAGATTGATGGGTGTATAATACCTGTCATAACCAAAGTCATGGTCAATGCCTGGGCTACAATGAGAGATCATGAACATTAAGCATGATGATGAAAACTTCATCCCTAAAAGGTTCGATGGCAATTCCTTTGATTTTATAGGTAATATGCATGTATATCATTTAAAGCTGGAAAGAGATTATGTCCTGGTGTATCATTTGGTGTGGCAAATATCTAGCTTTACCTTGCGAATTTACTCTATCATTTTAGTTTTATTTCACATTGTGATCCATCCATATTTTTAAAAAAAATTATAGCTTCAAATTATATTTTAATAGCTTTTTAATTAGGTTGAGGTGTTAATATAAAAAATAAAAAAACCTAATTTTTTAAATTAGTTTTATAACTATATATTCATACAAACAGCACAAAACAATAGAATTAAAGGCCTTTAGCCTCTACCATAATCATATTGTAATGTAGTGTAATGATTGAGCACACTCCAAACACATTAAAGCCCTTGCATTTTCTAAAAGAAAGAAGAAAAAATGCCAAGTAGTTTTGAGCCAAGGGTGTTCCTTTTTTTCTTTCATTAGTTCACCAAGACAAGTTCCTTAATCCTTCATACATGTAGTTTATTCTAAACTCAGATCCCTCGTATTTTTCAACCTTTTTAGTTGGCATATGGCAATAATCTCATATTTTCTCCAACATGGACTTGAATATTCAAACATGAGAATCAAAACCATAACAAATTGCTCTTGTTAAAAACCAAGAGATTCAAATATGTCTTCATTTTTTTAAAAAAAAACATAGAGTATTTTTGTAACAATTTTAACATATTAAAACCTGATCTCTTTTGACTATGTCTTAAATATAATCATTTATGTCTAAACTAGTTGTGATGAAAATTAGTTTGTTTTGGAGGTTTAAAAACTTACATAATAACATAAAAAGGTTATAAAATACTAATTATCTATTTTTTATAATAAAAGAAAAGTTCAAAATGAAAATTATTATTTCAATGATTAAAATTTAATTAAGAAAAAATATAATAAAAAAACCCACCAACCATCTTAAATTATGTTTCTAAAATTGTATGTATGCGTGTATGTTAAAGACATAATTTCACATGGTTGATGAGTTTTTTTTTATATTTTTTTTATTTAAAAAATCAAACTATAAAAAAAACATTAATATTAATTAAATTATGATTTACTTATATATATTAATATGTTATCTTAAATTAACTTGAGTTGACTGAATTAATAAAAAGGATTCAATTAGAAATTATAATAATTTTTATTTTTGAGTGCCTTTTAAAAATTTATTTAACTTGAAAATTTTTTAATTTACTGTTATTTCTAATGTTTTTCAATATTTTTGATATATTAATGTTAAAATAAAATAAATATTTTAAAAAATAATTTTAATATATTTTTGAGCGAAAAATACTTTAAGAAAACTTGAGCTATAACATCAAACACATATTTAAAATATATTTTTAACATCAACACATTAAAATAATAAAAAAAAATATAAAATATTTAATTTAAACAATTTTTTTAAAATTTTTTAAAATATTTTTCATTTAATTTAAAGAATTTTTTTAAAATTTTTTAAAATATTTTTTAACTGCAAAATAAAAATTCTATTAATATTGGTGATCTCTACTCAAAATTGTAAATAATTCATTCAACTAGCATCGTATTAGAGTTGAATTTTACTACTATTTATTAGCATTAAAACATCCCGCGCTTTCGAAGCCAAGACAAAAATTTGAATTCAGACAGCGGCTCTCACTCAATCACGCCCACTTTGCCATCTGTCCTTGACCTTTCAGACACAACAAAAACCCCACCTTTCTTGGTGTCCTCTTATCTTGTTCTTCCCCTCCTTCTCTCCTGGTCCTAAAGACTCAATCTTTAATGGCTTCCCGCTACAATTCATACGATTCAAGGTCCTCAAATTCCTCTTACTTCTCAGACCCATCTTCATCCACTGAACTAAGCTACAAACACTCAACTTCACGCGCAATAATCAAGTCCAAACCAGCATATTTGTCAGAAGTCAAGGTAAAAAACAATGGAAATGATCACAATTTAAGCACAATGGTGAAGAAATTCATGGAGAAGAAGTCAGTATCTTCCACGTCGAGTAAAGGGTCATCAAGTAAGGGTGTGGGGTTGGTGATTCCATCGGATTTAATAGCAGAGGACTTGAAAAAGACTGCAAGGAAAGGGACTGCTTTTATGGGTTTGCAGAAGAAATTATTCGGGAAGGAAAATAAGAAGGAGGTGAAGGCGTTGACGGAGGCAAAAGTGAATAGTAATACAAGGACTTTAGCTATGGTTTTGAAGAGTGAGAGAGAGCTTTTGAGTGCTAATAAAGAACAAGAGTTGGAGATTCATAAGCTTAAGTTGATGCTTGAAGAAAAGAACAAGGAAGTAAGTGGAGTTCAATGTTTTTGTTGATTTTTTTTCCTTTTTGGGTTTTGGTTTTTGTATTTACTGTTGCTTTCGTTATTTGGTTTGTAGGTTGAGAAGTTGAAAGATTTGTGCTTGAATCAAAGACAAGAGATGAGGTCATTAAAAAGTTCAATACTTTTTCCTGATACAATGAATTCTCAACTTCAAGAGTTACTGGAGCAGCAAGGATCAGAATTGAAGCAAGCCAAACAACTCATTCCAACTCTTCAGAAGCAGGTCACTTCCCTTACAGGTCAATTGCAATACCTTGCAGAGGATCTTGCTGAGGTATTAACCTGAAAATTTTTCCATGTTTTAGTGATTTTAAGTGTTTTCATTCAAGTTCTAATATTCTGAGTTGATGTTTTGAAGATTTTTTTTTCTATTGTGGTTGAAATGAAACCTAAAGTTTTTGCATGTACAATTTCCCTGTTTTCTAGTGTATGGGACAGTCTTGTGAATGCGGACTTTGGTTGCATAAATGAGCATTAAGGTTCTCCAGTAATTCATTTGCTAGCTCTATGTGATTTTCCATCTTAATTAGAATATTCAATGTTAGTATAAAATCAGATTCATCCTGAGATTACTAAAATCAATGCTGCTCAAATTGTAGGGTTCTTTATTTAATGTCTAGTATATCTCTTAATAGAATTAGATTATAGATTATTTTACATGTTGAACATTATTGCAGCTATTGTGTTTATGCACGGTCAATAGATTGATTTCGTTTTTAGGACGAAAGGTTTGAATTTTGCAGTGTTTTTCTCCTTTATTTTCCACATTTGTGTAGATAATATCTTCGAATTCAACCAAGGTGCTGCTTTATGATAGTATTTGGGGTGTGCAGTTGTTAATGATTTTCTTCTTGTAAAGGTGAAGGCAGATAAATATGCAAGGGCATGCATCCAATATCCTGGGAGCTCACCAGGAACACCATCATATGACCATGAAGAAACTGTTAATTCCTTGGTAAGTGTGTTGTAGTAGTATTAAGATTATAGGTCATCAGTGTTCAATTCCTAGCAAGGAGTGACAGTTTCCTTTAATTATTTATTTGTTTATTTTTCTAGAATGAAGTTATAATTTGATCATTAACTTGAAACATTGCTTACATCATAAATAGAAAATCAATAATCTCATGTGGACCTGCCTTCTATCCACATTTTCTCATATACAAAAGAATGACTCTTATTCCCAGATAGAAGCATCAGTGTTCATTACACCGGGTGGGGTGGGTCTTCATATCTGTGGGGAGGATACCGGCTGTACTCGAACTGACCTGGTTTAAATCAAATTTCATTTTCAAATTGTTCGATCACTCTATCAAACTTACAGTTAAAGAGTAGGATATTTTTGAATTCTACTATTTTCACCGTGAAGGCCATTTGGAAAAATTGTTGAAGTTTTCTTGTGGGTTAAGCACTGAAATATTGTGTACCGGAAATGCCATGATCTGCTTCTAAGTTCTGCTTGACGAACTTTATATGCCTGTTGATTCAAACTGTCTTTCCCTTAGCTCTTCTTCTTTGACAAACTGTCAATAACAATTCAGGAATTTAGCTCTTGCGATGGTGCAACCCCGGGTAGTCCAGATGACATGCTTCTCAAGGATTTAAATCCATGTTTAACACCCTATTGTGCCGAGAAAAAATCCAAGGTCAGCAGACAATGCTCCTTTGAGTTTTGTCAAAATCCAATCCGAAAATGTCTATCCTATGAGATGCACTCTATGCAAACCTTGTAATGAAAATACTGACAGAATGGACATTTCTTGTAGGAGTTTGAGACAATGGGCTATGAGTCTTCTCTTGACGCAAGCTTATCGGAGAGCAACACGCAAACTAGCAATGAACTTAGCTTCAGCTCTCGTCTGAGGAAGTTATCCAATAGTTCAGACTTTTACCAGAACTCCAGCGCAGGAAGCACAATGACCCGATCAACTCGCAGGTCAGATGAAAGCAAAGGAGCATACAGAAAGCAAACCCAACAAAGACATTTCTAGCATCCTATCGGTCATTCTGTTCTCATGGGGCATATATTTAATCAACTGATGCTTTTTTATGTACTTTTTTTTTTTTAATGATGTTTATGGACTATAGTTGTACTTTTTTTTTAATGATGTTTATGGACTATAGTATTATTGTTGCAATATCTCCTGGATGTAAATGTTGTTGTCTAAGCACTTGAATAAGGGGTGCAAAGCCGTATATGTGAGCGGAAAAACATGTTATAGGATATGCTGTAGGGTTGTGCTATGGTATTAGTCTACAGCTATTTTTGTTTAAAAAGTCATGAGCTTGGAAAGGAATATTTTGGTAGCTCAAACTATTTTCTTCATTCTTGTACCAAAATCTTGAAGTTAACCTTGCAAAACAAAGCTATAAAAAGAAAACAAAGTTAAATAGCAATTGACGAATTGAAATATATTATTAAACTTCACATGTGGGTTAAAGCATTGAAGGCACAAGAAGATTGTGACTATGGATTTAGCCAAGCATGTTATCTAGCAATGCTGCATAAAATCAAATCTATGACTTTTGACCTAAGAGCCTAAGTCATGGTAAGAGAACACTTAAGGGACATATCATTGTTGGCTGAGAGCCTGGGGATTGAATCCAGGAATTGGGGTTGGCCACCATGGGAGGACAAATGGAGTGGCCTTGCCCATATAATTGTTAGGAGCAGGAAAGAAAAATTCTGGCCTTCCTTTCACCTTGTTGAGCATGATGTGGGGGAGATCTGCGTTGGAGAGTCAATTGGGCAATTAGTTATTGCAAATACTGATAATCTTACATAAGATCAGCAATTAATTATTGCAAATACCGTGTAGTCGGGAAAACACACTTTACACCTAGCGGGTTTTTATTTATTTCTACCTGAATATGGTCATGATTTTTTTTTCTATGGGTGGAATTGGATAAATTAACAAATCATTTAATAAAATGATTCAAAACAAAATAAATATCAATTAAAAAAATGAAAGTTAAATTTAAAAACAAATTAAAAGATGAAATTACCAAAAATAAAAAATAAAAAATAAAATCTGATTAGAAATAATCAATATAAATAAAACAATTACAAATAACAATAAGAGAAGAAAGATCAGATTAAAAGAAGAAATAAATTAAAGAGTTAGTATTATTTTTTACATAGCCAACACATAAGGAAGAAAGAGAAGGGAAAAAAGAATAAGCAATTTTAAGTCAAATCACATCAAACTACAATACAAACACCACCTAAAGAGAAAACAAATTAAAAAAAATCAAATAATATAGCGAGTTCATAGTTACTATTACTAGAACTAGTCACGCAAACCACTAGAAAGTGACCAAATAGCACAAGCTCTCACACACACGCCACCTAGAAAAAATAAGGACGCTGAGACAAATCAAATTATACGATGGATTCATAATTACAATTACTGAAGCCAGTCCCATGAACCACTAGAAGCTGACAAAGCACTGATAAGTACGTATGGGAGGCACACATTAATAGAACTAAATAATAATAACAAAAAAATCATGATAAAATTACAACTAAGCTCTTGAAGCTAAGATTAAAAAATTTGAGCAATAAAAGTAATGTAGTAATTCCACTAATCTATCAAATAAGAAAATACAAAAATGTCCTTATGAAGAAGGCATTTGTTATTTTATTTAAGGATTGCATTAAAAATTTTACTATATATTAAAAAATATAATTACTAAAATAACCTTATACAATACTCAAAAGGTATTTATATCATGGTAAAAAGATCACCTTACCCTAAAACGAGGGTAAAAGATAAAATGATCAAAGGGTAATATAGTAATTAGTATAAATATGATTGTTAAGTTTGTATTTTAAAAAACTACTTAAAAATAAATATTCAATAATAAAAATTTAAATTAGAGTATCTATATATTAATCCTATACTATAAAATTTTATATTCTTATGCTTGTTACCTTTTTCTATGTTGGTTTCTGTTTATGTCATCTATTAAAGGCAGGACAGTACCAACTGGATGTAGTCTCCATATAAAAACTTCAAACTCCACAAGTTTCATTTGCTTTATTATTTGTTGCTTTCAATCAATTAGCAGGCAGTCAAATATCTTAACACAAAAGTCATTACATCTTGAGAGTTCTACATGGGCAACCAAATCCTATATATATTGTTTTTGGTCCAGCTCTAAAATTAAGCAGATCATAAATCATGTATAAATCAATGCCTAGTGATTGAGAACACAGATGGAACTGAGATCAGATAATGTATAGAAACACTAGGGAGACAATACACTATTTCGCGTAAGCGATCGAAAACTCGAAAAATGGAAAACTGTACAGATCTGGTGGAGAACACAATTTATTCATCATTTTTCATTAAAACATTGACTCTTGCTCTAACTTTGCATTTTGATAGTTATGCCCTATGTCATTAGATATCTGAGCTGACTCTGGAAGGAGTCTGAGGAGAAATCAAAGACAAGCAACACTCAAGCTGATTCCGAAGAGCAAACACCACCACTATGTGCTCTGCTTTTTCTGCAAAAGGGATCCATTGAAGGACAGAATCGACTAACTTTAAGTCGAATGCATTGATTTATATATACCGGTGAAGGTTTTGTTGTTTTTCCTTGACAAATCCTTAAAGGCTTAGGACTTGGGAGAGAGCAGTATTCAGAATTCCTAAATAGAATGACTCGTTTTGTTTTCCTTCATAAAAAATACAGTACAAATCATTTTTAGGATTAGGACTAGGGAGAGAGTAGTATTTCTTCTGGAATTCCTAGCTCCAGCTCTGCATAAAATGGCCTGCTACTATATCTGTACAAAAATGGTTCTGAAGTAACTCATTTACAAAAGAACTTGTGCTTTTCAAGGCTCCCGAATGCTCAGTGCCTCGCTAACCTTGGAGAAAGTATTTCAATGACGTGTTTTCCTAGCATTTCAAAAGAAATTCAGTAAGGTTTGTGGTTGGAGATGAGAAAATAGTGAGGTTCTGGACAGATAAGTGAGTAGGAAGTTCGATTCTCTCCCATCAATAATTTCCAAGGTTACTGTTTGCACTATCAACGCAGCAAGCATTCTGAATTTCAACCTTTGGAACTTGGATGGATGGCACTTGGATTTGGAATCTTACCTGGAGTAGAGGGAGTTACGAGTCTCTTAACAGCAAACTCGAAGGATATTGTCCAATGTATCACAGGCACTATCTTAAGTGAAGTCAGAAAGGGAGATTTGGAAAGCGAGCAAAGACGAGATTGATTTATATTGTAAGAAATTACAGCTTGATATTAGATAGAATTCTATTCCCAAGAGTGACAGTAACTAGAAAGCTAATGTATGGACAAGCATGGCTCCCAACTTGGTGAAAGGGGATTTCTAGCCCGAAGAAATCCCATCAGTATAGGTGCAACAAGATGTCCTTTGTACAGTAGATTTAATGAATCAACATCACACCTTCTCCTCCACTGTCATTGCTCCTGGTATTTTTGGTCTAGAGTAATTCAACGGTACGGAGTTTCACCCAGAATCTCTCAAATTTTTCTACCGTCAATGGCTAAGCCGCAACTCAGGGAAGTTAGTTTTCTCTGCAACCTTGTGGACTGGCATGAAATAATAATCTACTGTTCAATGGCTTGCAAACGAATTGACCATCTCCTTCTCAATCAATATTTAATGTATAGAATTTCAGTTTGGATTCAAGCCATACAAGAGAGTTTCACATATACAATGCATGCTTTGACTGAAGGATCATAAGGTATTAAATTGTGGACCTGCCCTGCTAAGAAACACATATTAACATACAAGCTGAATGAAAAAGCCTGAGAAGGCATAGAGTACCTGAGATGGGCAAAACAAAAGGGATGGAAGGAAAAACACAGCCAAAATTTTAGTTAAGCACCCACGAAAGACAAAACTAGACTAGCCTAATCCCTAGATACCACACGAACCACCAAGGATAGCTAGTGAAAACTCCCCAACACAAACTCTGATACTCATCTCCAGCTACTTTCAGAACAGAAAACTGACGCTATAGAGCACAGATCACAGAATAGCAAGAGACCACAATATTGCAAAAACATGCTCTAATGTTGGTAGATCTCATTCTCAAGGCGCGGCGTAAGAACAACTTCTAATGGCGTTGCTTTCGGCATGGTGAGTCCTAAGCCTTCACTCATGTCAACTTGAGCATTCATTGGGGTGCTGAAATTGAAGCCTTGAAGCAACCGAGAAAGCGTCAAGTGAAGCATTTGCAAGCTAGAAGAAATCCCAGGGCACGATCTTCTCCCTGAACCAAATGGAACATACTCAAACTGCTGACCTCTAACATCTGTTGATCCATGGCTCGTAAGGAACCTCTCAGGATGGAACTCATATGGATTTTCCCATATTCGTGCATCTCGATGAAGCTTCCACGCGTTAACTAGTAATTGAGTGCCTCGAGGAACGAGATAGCCATCCACGTAGCAATCTTCCAAGGACTCACGTGGTACCAATAGGGGGCCAGGAGGGTATAGTCTCAAGGTTTCCTTCACAATGGCTTGAAGGTACACTAAGTTCTTGATATCTGATTCTTCTACCCATCTTGTTGTTCCTACATGGATATCAATCTCTTTCTGCGCTCTTTTCAGCACTTCAGTATGGTTAAGTAGAAGAGACAGGGCCCATGTCAAAGTGATAGATGTAGTATCTATGCCTGCTAATAGAAGATTCTGCAGAGCACAAACAATCAGCAATTAGCAATTAGAAATGCAATCGTGTTGATGAGGATGTTATACAGAATGTCGTGAGTTCACTTACCAGCGCAGTTGCCTTGACAATGGTTTCTCTTTTGTATACGAAGATGGGTTCTTCACCTATTGCAAGAGAATCTAATGATTCTAACATGACATCCATGAAGTCCTTCTCTTCTTTCCTCACCAGGCCCTCTTCCCTACGCTGAAGATGTTCTACAAGCCACTGCCCTCTTCCCTGTTGAAGTAAACTCAATCTAGAAGGTCAACCACTCACAACATCGTCCAACTCCTTGGCAACACGCTTCATAGATTTCAAATGTCCTTGAAAATCCATCCATTCAGTAAAGGGAATCAAATCAGACGTTACTAATACCCCACTCAAGTAAAAGAACTCTTTGATTAATCTTCCACAAGCTCCTGAATCTTTGCCAGTACCACCACAATATCTCTTCCCCGCAATTAGTCGAAACATCACATTCGCAACTATACAGGAAAACCATTGACTCATGTCCAGCAACACGGAACCATTGCTACAAGTTGTATGCAATTCCTTGATGCATGTTTCTATTTCCGAAACTCTCACATGCTTGAGCAGCTCAAGCCTGCTGTTCGACAGAAGCTCTTGCGTTGCGATCTTTCGCATCTCAAGCCAGTATTCTCCATACGGATGGAATCCGAAGAAGGCATCATCATAACCCATGTATTTTGAAGCAGCAACACTCGGACGATTTAGGAATTTTCGGTCATTGGTTTTGAAGCATTCCTTCACAGATTCCCAGCTACTAATAACAAGCGTGCGTCTCATGCCAAGCCTTATTGAAAAAACTGGTCCATGCTTATCAGCCAGGTCTCCAAGAGTTCGGAAAAGGGGAATTTGACTATTGAGAATCCTCAGATGTCCTATCAAAGGCCATGCGCCAGAGGGTTCAGGTGGTAGTAAGGTTTTGTTTCTTTTGTGGCTGGTTGACAGTATTCTCCATATAATCATGCATAGAAGAACTAGCCCCAGAAAGAAACTTTCAATTGCTAAAACTTTCATTTTGGGTCGTGTGTGGAGAAAGAAGTGTCTTAGGTACATGCCTATAATTTGGCACCCTCTTGTATATGACATGAAGCACAAGCAAGCTGACAGTAATTAATTTTTACAATGGCATCCGATAATCAATGACGGATCAAGATGCTGACACCAACTTCACGACATCCAATAATTGTTTATATCATGCTCGAGGACAGGTCTTCATTATTATTATCTATTGAAAAATTAGGAGCAAATAACTAGATATCAACCTGGGTAGATCAATTTACAATTTATAAGTTCTAATTTTTTTTCTTTTTGTACAATCAAAATTAGAATCAAATAATCAACAAAAATAATATAACAATCACATAAATTAACATCAAGATATTTTTATGTGGAAAACTTGATGCGGAAAAAACCATGGAACCGTAATCCACTTAAAAACTCCCACTATCAATAAATAATAGATTCACAATTGTTCTTTCTTAGATTCAACTAAAAGCTACAATATACATATTATTAAGAATAACCTATTCTTGAAATACAATAAGAATAAAGAGAGAAATATTTGGGAAAAGCTCACAACATTGACAGCTCTATTTTCTATCAAAACAACTAGCTTTCACACCACTAATCTTCGATCTAATTGTTCAAAATGAAGAATAATGTGTCTAGAAGCTGCTGTCAATATCTCATCTCAATCCAACAGTGAACGAGCTGGAAATTGAAGAAAGAAGATAATCAATTCAGTTGTCTCAACTTCCTTTCTTTCTCCTATTTTTCTCTTCTCTCTTTTGTTAAAATTGCTACTGTCTCCTACAATAGCAAACATAATTAAATCAGAGAGGCAGCCCATTGCCTCTCTTCTTAATTAATATGGTGGTCCCACCATCACATGGTGCGGGACCACACACAACAAATTTCCCTCTCACACATTATGTGAGGAATTCGCCATACTAGTGATCAACATGTAAGCTTCAATTTAGGAGGCTTTACCAAGCCTGCTTCCCTTCTGCAAAATTCAAACTTCTCTCTCGGTAGAGGTTTGGTCATCATGCCTGACATGTTGTTATCGGTATGAATCTTTTAACAACAAATGACTTCATCTCCATAGCATCTCGAATCCATTGATATCTAAACTCAATGTGCTTTGATCGAGAGTGAAAAGTAGGATGCTTACTAAGATGGATTGCACTTTGACTATCACAGTGCAACACAAAGTTCTCTTGAACTAGGCCAAGTTCATACAAGAACTTCTTCATCCATAACAACTATTTTCCCCCTTCAGTAAGAGCAATGTATTCAACCTCTATAATAGATAATACAACATATTTTTGTAACCTTGATTACTATGAGACTGTTCCTCCTGTAAACTTTATTAAGTATCCTGATGTGGACTTTCTAGAATCAACATTACCAGCCATATCTGCATCTGTGTATCCATCTAGCACAGGTTTATGATTACCAAAACATAAGCTGAAACTAGAAGTACCTTTGAGATACTTGAGTATC